ACACATATATATGTTGCTAATCATTGTTCGGTACTAATAAAACTGGTTCAGCATTCTTTGACTATAATAGTGTTCTGCTATTCCTGTTTTATGTTCCTATACTTCGAAGTGGTAAACTACTGATTAATATATATTTTCTGTGCTTAAAGAAGATTTTTGAAATGTGGCCCAAACATTCTCAAGATAAAACTACAAACCCTCTGCATTTTTTTGTCCATTAGATAGTTTTGAAAAAATAAAATAAATATATATATATGTGTGTGTGTGTGTGTCTTGGTTTTGGTAAGGCTTAGTGCAACACATGTTCTGTAAAATAATCTTTTATTCTACAAAAACTTTTTCAGTCTTAGAAATGCATATAAATTTAACAAATATCCTTCTTAATTACAGCTGCACTTCAAGGACCAGTAAACCTTAATTTCATTGTGACTGATATTAGAAATGCCTGTAAACATGGAACAAAAAATACAGCCTTGCCTAAATGAAGAACACATGTGAATACTACATAAAAACCTGCACAGGCTTGTAAACATTTACTTATATAGTAGCTATTCTATATTCAGTAACTTTTATTATAGATTTACTTGCCCTGTAAGAAGTACCTGTCAGAATGTATGCTACCTGTTACAGCAGAGGCTTCCATCAAATGTGAGTGCCAGCAGTAAGCATATTACTGTACATGATGCTGCAGAGGTGTAAACTGTTCAGAAACTAAAGCATCTTTTAGAAGTCAAGCATTGGCAACCTAAGTGCTGAATAGAAACCTTGGATATGACAGCAGCCATCCTGACATGTTTCCTCTAAACTCTGTCTTAAAATATCTATAATAATACTTATGAAAATACATATTTTATTATGCCAATTGTGTAATGACATACATTACATTTAAGGCAAATACTAAAACAAAAAAATTAAAAGTCATGTTGACATGGAAATAGGTGTGTTTCCTCCATTTTCCTTTCTCTTAGAATGTGCTGAAACTCATGAGTTATGAAAAATCATATTCTTAGAATTTCTGGCATTTTGTGGCAGATTGTGATTTTATTCGTCAATTACTATAAAATGCTCTGTCACACAAGAAAAAGCTTTTTCCTTTTTTTTTCTTTTGACTGGACTAGAAATTTCATTTGCATTTTTAAAATTTTTTAGGTGCTGCACATGAGTTTGCAGTTGAGTTTTATCCATCTTAAAACCTAAATAGTTTTTTTTTACTAATGGGTTTCACTCAGCTGATTTTTTTCACACACTTGAAAAAGAAAAAGCAAATAAAAATGTTTATCAAATCTAAAAAAGTAAAAAAGATCACACTTAATTTAATTTTCAATCATAATATCCAAATAAGATGATCAAATGACTGGATTGAGACCTAAGTGGATACCATTAGACATCTTTAATGCATGAATTGACTAACCTTGTAGGGCTGTAATTTATCTTAAAAATAAAAACTGGGATGTCTATAATGTCTATTGTGTGTCAAAAACTGAAAGGGTTAATTTTTAAAGTAAATAAAAGAGGTTGCAGCATGATTATTAGAAGTCCCTGAGACTGAAAACTACTATCAGAATAATGGTTTAGCAATGAACCGTAGCACAAGATCAATCATATTTATAATCAATTTACTCAAAAACATTATCCTTTTTATATTCTTTGCTGCTTTAACAAATAGCGTATAGTAAAATGTCATGCTTCAGTCCAAATGTCATCTACCAGCACAACAGTCAACTGTAAAATGTTCACACCGCACAGAAAAACTGCAATAAATAGCTGTGTGGTATTTAATAATTTTCTGCTATTGCGGACAGCACTACAAGGGAATGTAATGATGTACTTGATTCAGGCAATACCTTAATTGATTATGAAATAAATAGCATGAGTGCATTTATCAAGAGCTTCCTTAACTATGTATTCAAAAAATAAAGAATAAAAAATAAAAATAATAAAAAGGAAAAAGTCTTAAACTTTCAGGGGCAGATTTTAGTATATTTTATGGTAACCTATGTAATACATGCAAAATTAAACAGAAACATAATTTTCAGATGTAACGGTAAGAAGAATTTTTTTGTTTGCTTTTACCAATGTTTTAAATGGTGCATTAAAAATTACTTGCAGTATGTTAGGTAAGAGATAGAAATTTGAAAAAAATCAACATTTGATCAAAAACTAATCAGTAAAAGTGCAAATTCATTGTATTATTTAATCTGGAAAAAGTAATATCCTTTATGTGCACAATACAAGATTTCTTTCTTCTTGTGATCATACAAAGTGCAGTCTATTGTAAATTAGCGTTAAAAAAATATCATAGTTTTGTCATTGGTATGTGAAGATTGTTCCAAGGTCCCATCCACAGCTCCTCTTCATCTGACTGAGTCTGGTCACTGTGGAATTCCAATGGCTCTTTGATGTCTTCATTATCAACAACTGATTCCTGCTCATCTGTGCTTTTTAATTTATTGTCTCCAATCTTAGATACATTTTTAGCAATGCCAGTGCTAGATGCCAATGATATACTAGTGTTAAGTTTTATAGAGGCCTCCTTTGATAAAGTGTTCAGCTGGATGTTTTCCTCATGTGTCACTCCAAGTCTGTCCAATTTCTTGAAGTGCTTCCCTAGCCTTGCAGGAGAAGCCATTTTTAAATTGTTTGTAAGGCATGAACGTCTGGTTCTCACCACTGACCCATTTTGGGCAATGTAAAGATTCCCATTTATATTGTTTTGTATGTTTGCGTGAGTGAGGCGGTTTTTTTGAGTTTCAAGAGCACTCTCTTCTCCAGTTGAGCTAGTTTCATATTCCCGATCCACAACCATTTTGATCTTTTTTCTAGCAATCTATTAAATTAAAATAAAAGACAACAGTCAGAAAAACAGAAACAAATACAATAACTAAAGCACACCAACATGCATCCAAGAATTAGACTATTATTCTATTACTGGTACCAGAGGAATAAAATTGGAATTTATCCATGACACCACTCATTTGAAATCTGTGCATGCTATGACCAAAATATAAAATAGTTCTTTATGAGAAACATCAAAGGCTGTGGGTGTGGGAACGCTTTACTAAATAAAGAAGTCCCGAAATCCTTGTAACCATGTTTGTTTAGGTTTTTCGCTAGACTGTTTTCTAACCTCATATATAATCTATTCATATGTTGAAATACAAAGTCCGTAGTACAGAGATAATAATTTGGTAAAAGGTCAGAACAACAGTCAGATGTCAAAATTCAGTGTCCGTGATCAAAGAAGAGCCATTAAGCAAATCCATGAGTATAGTTAACCTACATCTTTCAAGTAAAACCTCAAATTAGCAGTTGGTCAGTGCCTTGCCTCGACTTACTGTATGTATGCCATCATAAGAGTTGCACCTCACCATGCTTACATTTGCCTGTACTCCCAAACAGATGTATACAAACACCAAAAAAATTGTAAGCCTGCCGCACATAGGAGATAAACCTATAAATCTATAAACAAAATTAAAACTCAACTGTGATTGTCACAGGCATTTTTTAATCATTGGGCTTATTACTGTCGACAGCCCATTGTTTTACTCAACAGTTACAGAAACTGTAAAAAAAATAAATGTTACTTTCTGTTGGTTCCAATGTTTCAATAGATTAACAATATCAATTGTTCAACAATGCAAATCTGAAAAGTGCCCTTGTAGCATAGTCCAGTTTCTTAGAAATCCTTTTTTGCCACATAGTCAGAGATATTGCACATCTTAGTGTACCAAAATGCACTGACATCATTAAATGGTATGAAAACACTAACACACTTGACTTATTTGTTCCTTTTTTAGTCTGCTAAGAAATACTATTGAGAGTTTTTAGTTTTTTTCTGCTTACTAAGTGCAAAAAATATTTGATTTCGCCAGAAATCTTGTGAACTGATGACTTGTGTTTTCTACGTGTGCACAAACAGGGGTAATAGGGATGAGCAGAGGTCTGTGCACAAGCAGGGTTAATAGGGATCAGCAGAGGTCTATGTTCATTGTAATCCATCAGCAGTAGGCATAGCTGACACTGCATGCTCAGGAATTCAGAGATGTGTTGTCATGTCAAAGAGGGAGGTATGAACATAGTATATTTCTGTCACAAACTATTTTTTGTGCTTGCAGTGTGTTTAAAAGGGTAAAACATGGCAAAATGTTCATGTATTCTAAAAATATACTGAATGTTTTGGTTTTTTCCATGTTGCCTTGACATATGCTTTAATGGTAGCAGGAAAATTATAAAAGTCAAACCATTTAATTGAATGACTCAAAGCTTTCTTCTATTCCTAGAGAACAGGACTTGATTGCTAATGGGTTGTTTATAATGTATCATTATTAAATCAGATGCAATCAGTTTAAAATTTGCAATATATGCAATTATAATTATTAATTTGCTTCAATTTGCATAATTATGCATACACAAACCGAGGGGCTTATCTAAATCTCGCAGGCTCGTCAATAACAATGTTTTAACCAGCTAATATTGAATTAGGCACTATAATAAATACAAAGCTTTTTTCCATGCATGCTTTTCATAGCTACCTTTTCATCAGTGTTATTACAACGTTACATTTGCATGGTTTAATTTAACCTTAATTTGGCTTAAATGTTGAAATGTTCAGTTAATAAAGTAATTTAATAACGTTCCACTTCCTATATAATCTGATAACGTTATGTCTTAGAATAAATACAAAGATGAAAAAAACCATCAGGGAACATTTATTATTTATGTATTTTAAGAAAAAGTACAAAATGAAGTGTAAGGTCACCAAAAACATATGCCATCTCCCCCCTACATCATGGATTACAGGTAGCAAATTGAATGCAGCTTTTAGAGATGGAAAATATCACAATAACCTCAGACAATAACGAAAAAATTTGGATTTTATGAAGACATGTTAAAATACCATTAAAAAAACAACCTTGTTACAGTCATCCAAGACCAACAATATGCTAGACCAAATTACATATGCCTCTATGGGCTCCTACTTAGAAACATACATTGATAGTCCCATGATTTAATGAGGGTCTCAACAGGATAATGAAATATTCACTGTAGTAGTCCAACCTTCAACGCATTTCACATTTTAGCTTCTTCCGGAAGGTGAGGAGGTTTTCTTGCACATTATAACAAACATAGTATGTTGGTCAATAGTACATTCAAGAGGACTGCTGCCACCCACATAAGAACACTCAGGCCTGGTTCATGTGAAAACCAATGATTGCCTATGGGCATGGTTCCCACCTGGGCATTTTACAGCGCGTAGGAATGCGCTGAAAAACGCCCTACGCCCAAAGAAGTACAGGAGATTCTTTGGGGCTTATTTGCTGCGCGTATCCGTTGGGATACAGCCAAGTAGCCCTCGTTTTTTTACCGTGAATCGCAGTAAAAACACACACGGCACAAAACGCGCATATTCGATATGCCCAGGTGTGAACCCAGCCTCGGGAAGAATAGAGGGGGAAAGAAAGGGAGAGATGACTCCCAGGTACCTTAGTGACCATTATAATCATGAGAATCTATTCAGATATTATGTATAGATCCCTACATTCACCTCCAATGGTAGATGTCACTACATTCCAAATGTGTATGGTTCCACAATCCTAATTTTTTTGTTATTGTCTGATGTTATTGGATTATTATAATCCCCATTCAGTTTGCTACTTGTTACCTTAATAAACTTTAATAAAAACTAATTTGAAGCGATTGCTGATGTCATGTTCGTAATACAATCAAGACTGGACTGACATACAGCTTGTGTAGTTGCATGGACAAAGCCAATTTTATATATGGGTCCCCCTCACACAAAAAACATTCTTCAGCCCAGCATACAAGGTTTAATGGCTGCTGTACCCATGGCTGTAGGGTCATACATGTGCTAGTGTTTCTGTAACATACTTACCGTCTCTTCGTTCCGGCACCAGCAAGTGGTGCAGCTTCCCTCTCTGACTCACAGCCAGCATCATGCAGCTCTGCTTTCCTAGCTGGCTTAAGCTGAGGAATAAAAACTCAAAGGACAGGAGCGCAACTACCAGGAGTGACGTGAACGGAGTGGATCTAGTAGATCTATGCGATGGGGGAATATGGCGGATCTTGGTGTGTAAGAACTGGGTGTATGCCGTACTGTTAAAGCAAGCTGACTTCTCTGTGGTCTGTGTGGCGCCCTCATTAGACAGATCCTGGGTCGCCGAGACCCGGTGGTGTCCCCGGTGGTATGAGAGGTTGATCTGTTGGGGGTGCGTGTCAGTATGGCCGCCTGCGTTCTCGGCTGGCCGGGCCGAGCCGCGTCGGTCAGGAACGGAGAAAGAGTGGGAGGAGCTATACCCGGCTGGGGAACGCCATGCGCCGTGTGACGGGGTGGATCGCAAAGTATGTGACTGTCGGGTGTCTCCAGTGGCTGGCTACGCGTTTCGAGGGTTAACCTCTTTTTCAAGCCTCAAAACTACTGGCTTAATAAACTTTAATAAAAACTAATTTGAAGCGATTGCTGATGTCATGTTCGTAATACAATCAAGACTGGACTGACATACAGCTTGTGTAGTTGCATGGACAAAGCCAATTTTATATATGGGTCCCCCTCACACAAAAAACATTCTTCAGCCCAGCATACAAGGTTTAATGGCTGCTGTACCCATGGCTGTAGGGTCATACATGTGCTAGTGTTTCTGTAACATACTTACCGTCTCTTCGTTCCGGCACCAGCAAGTGGTGCCGCTTCCCTCTCTGACTCACAGCCAGCATCATGCAGCTCTGCTTTCCCAGCTGGCTTAAGCTGAGGAATACAATTCCCAGGCGTGCGAGCAATGTGCTCGTGCTGGTAGCAGCGCTCTCTCACCATTTCTATCCTTACCTTGCAGCCTCACAGAAATCCTTATACTTTGGGCTTCCCTGCAGCTCCCACCTGCTATCCTGATTGCCTGTGAAGCCAGTGTTCTGGCTACAGAACACCAGCTTCAGAGGCTGCCTGCCTTCCTGACCAATCAGGAAGCCGAGCGGCGAGTCATGACTATTTTATTTAACCCTTTAGTGAATGGGTACAAGTACTCATTCACAAGGGAGGGGGCAGCATCTGGGTGCCCCCTTAATTAGAGTGGTACCCCGGTGCAAATAAGCCCCCTTGCCCGCAGACCCCCACAACCACCGGGTCAGGGTTGTAGGGACGAGGCACTTGTCCTGATCGGCACAGGGACACCCTCCCAGTGCCTAGGGCATGTGGCCTGGTGTGGGAGGCAGGGGGGGGGGCGCTCACTCATCCCCCCACCCCCTTTCACGGGCCTAGTCGCGTCGGTCAGGAACGGAGAAAGAGTGGGAGGAGCTATACCCGGCTGGGGAACGCCATGCGCCGTGTGACGGGGTGGATCGCAAAGTATGTGACTGTCGGGTGTCTCCAGTGGCTGGCTACGCGTTTCGAGGGTTAACCTCTTTTTCAAGCCTCAAAACTACTGGCTTAATAAACTTTAATAAAAACTAATTTGAAGCGATTGCTGATGTCATGTTCGTAATACAATCAAGACTGGACTGACATACAGCTTGTGTAGTTGCATGGACAAAGCCAATTTTATATATGGGTCCCCCTCACACAAAAAACATTCTTCAGCCCAGCATACAAGGTTTAATGGCTGCTGTACCCATGGCTGTAGGGTCATACATGTGCTAGTGTTTCTGTAACATACTTACCGTCTCTTCGTTCCGGCACCAGCAAGTGGTGCCGCTTCCCTCTCTGACTCACAGCCAGCATCATGCAGCTCTGCTTTCCCAGCTGGCTTAAGCTGAGGAATACAATTCCCAGGCGTGCGAGCAATGTGCTCGTGCTGGTAGCAGCGCTCTCTCACCATTTCTATCCTTACCTTGCAGCCTCACAGAAATCCTTATACTTTGGGCTTCCCTGCAGCTCCCACCTGCTATCCTGATTGCCTGTGAAGCCAGTGTTCTGGCTACAGAACACCAGCTTCAGAGGCTGCCTGCCTTCCTGACCAATCAGGAAGCCGAGCGGCGAGTCATGACTATTTTATTTAACCCTTTAGTGAATGGGTACAAGTACTCATTCACAAGGGAGGGGGCAGCATCTGGGTGCCCCCTTAATTAGAGTGGTACCCCGGTGCAAATAAGCCCCCTTGCCCGCAGACCCCCACAACCACCGGGTCAGGGTTGTAGGGACGAGGCACTTGTCCTGATCGGCACAGGGACACCCTCCCAGTGCCTAGGGCATGTGGCCTGGTGTGGGAGGCAGGGGGGGGGGCGCTCACTCATCCCCCCACCCCCTTTCCGGCCCTGCCAAGCCTATGCTCGGATCAGGGGTCTGGTATGGAATTTTAGGGGGGACCTCATGGTCTCCCCCCCATTTTGGGTGGTGGGGTTCCGCCTTAAAATTCCTACCAGACCTTAAAGGTCTGGTATGACTTTTATGGGGAACTCTACGCTTTTTTTTTAATGTTCCCTCCTAACATTCCTACCAGACCTAAAGGGTCTGGTATTCTTTGGGAGGGGGAACTGCACACTTTGAGAGTAAAAAAAACATTTAAAAACATAAATGTCAGTTTTGCTGCAGCAGGTTCTATACATCGTACAAATCCGCCACTTCATTTATATTCTTACCCTTTAAGTGATGTTAAAATCACTGCTACTTTAAAAAGTTTTTTTTTTTTTCATTGATTCCTGTCCCCCAGAGCAGTACCCGTACCCCCATACACCTTTCATGGACAATAAGTTGCATATAAGCACTCTTAAAGGGGACAATAATTTTCGAAAGTCCGACCCCCATTGACTTACATTAGGTTCGAGTTTGTATTCGAACTTGTCGGCCGTTCGGGTGTTCGAATACAAACTGAACAAACTGAACACGGGGGTGTTCGGCCCATCACTATCTGCAACAATTAAATGTCAATGTCTTTTTTTTCCCACTCGTACTCCTTGCACTTTAATGTCTTTACTAAATAAACATAAAAAGTGTATTTTTGTTGAATGCTAAGTTCAAAAATGTACTGCATAAAATATAAAGATCTGCTGCCTTTAAAATATTCCATTGCTTTCATTAACCATCTGATAATCTCACCAGTTGGAGTTGGAAAATAGCTTCAGAACAACCTTACATGCACCCAGAACCTCAAAGAAATATGAAGACTGTGAAAATATAAAGTATTGATTATGGATTCTTTTTTCACTCTAAAACAACATGCAGGAAAGCAAAAATGAGGGCACTAGCCCAGAAATTAGAATAGTCACACAGAAACACTGCAAACCACCAGATTTTTTTGTTGTCTCTACATACGCTTAAAATGATGTGAAGTCAGCAGCAGATACATCCGTGTCAGATCCATGACCAGTGTCTTGTGCATCTGACTGGTCAGAGGATGGTTTTTTGCTCTCTGTACTGTGATTTGAGTTTTCTACTTCAGAGTCATGGGATGCCTGAGACACAGCATCACCTTCATGGCTGGCTACTGTGCATTGACTTTGTGTATCAATAGATGAGTTTTCTCCACCGACGTCTTCATTGTTGCTTTCTGCGTCACTTTCTACATCTTCTGACTCACTGCTCCTACTATGACCCTCTTCAGTTTTCACTGAAGTTCTAGATATAGATGCTTCGCTTATGTTATCCCTTTCATCTTCACTTAGTGCATCACTTGCTTTACTAGTATAGTCTTTTTCATTGTCCTCATCATCCTCCTCCTCCTCTGAATGCTCTTCTTCAGACTGTTCTTCAATAGCACTTTGTGCCTCACTTTCCATACTTGATTTCATTGACTTATAGCTGGATTTTGCACTACTTTTTTCACTTCCTCCTTCAGATTGTCCAGTCCTATCATCACTCCTTTCACTTTTTATGCTGGAAGATGAAGTGGCTTGATTACTACTTTCTGATTTCCTGCTTGAGCTTTTTAAAGATGCCTTTGACTCTTCTTCAGACGACAGCTCACCATGGGCACTTGACTTTTCTGTTGTAGCAGATACAGATTCTTTATCTATTTCATCTTCTTCCTCTTCCTCCTCCTCTTCCTCTGCCTCCTCTTCCTCTTCTTCCTCATCCACTGACTCTTCCTGCTTGCTGTCCATAGATTTTGACACAGATTGGGTTTCATCTTCTGAGTCTTCTGCTATTTCACTTCTTTCTTCATCAGAATCTACAGTGCTTTCATTGGTTTCATCATGATCTAGTGTCACCTTCAAGTAATCTTTATCTATTTGAGAGGGAGAAGTACTGCTCCTTGGAGACGATTCATCAAATGGTTTTAGTGAACTTTTATCCCCTTCATCTTCTGTTGCTTCATTTTCTTCAGAATCACTTTCTGCTGTTACACTAATTGAAACTCCAGATTTGCTGTCATCTCTTTCAGATTCACTCACTTCCGAATCTTCATCTTCCTCATCTTTTTCACTTTCAGCAGTTGATGTTTTGATAGAAGAAGTCACTGATTTTTGTCGCGAATGTAGCTTTCTGGCAGCATTGATACGTTGGAGGGCACGGTCTAGCTTTCTTGTGACCGAGTGCTTATCTGTTGTTTTTTGGAAATAGCTTCCTTTAATGACCATGCTGTCATCACCTTCAACTTGACGTGCAGAAACCAATTTAGCATATGCAGAATCCTTCCCTCCTTTAACTTTTTTAAGAATCAATGGGAATATTCTAGCTTTTTTCCATGGAGAATGATGCGGTACCTCTGCAGCCTCAGATGATTTTTGGCTGCTCACTGCCACACGACTTATCTGCATAACTGCCTTCAATTTTTTCTTTCCTTGACTAGCTCTAGCTACTGGAATGCTACCTCTGGCTGGACCAGGCCTGCCTGCTATACTTCCTCTGCCTGGCCCCTGCCCTCTGCCTCTCCTGGAAGGAGGTCTCCCACGCATTCTTCCCTGAAATGTTGTAAAGGAGCTACAGTTAATAACTTCAAAATTATATTTTCATTTAGCATTTCTACACGTGAGTCTGTTTTAGAGAGACTGGTCAAAATCAGGCTTTTAAATTTGCCTGACTTTTACCAACATTTTGTCAGTCATTTTTACACCCATGACTGCATATGAACTTGAGTGATGTAATTATTCCATAGTGAACAACATCAGTCTTGCCTTCATACTAAAACTTTTTTGTTTTATGTACTTTTAGTACTAACAAAAAGAGAAACAAATGTATACTTACATCTCCTTCTGTGCTAGGTCCATGAGGACTATAATAAAAGCCACCATCATTGTCACCAACTACTTCTCCATAATCCTCATACAAGCCAGATGGTGACAGTAATCTTCGCCGGCTTCCATACTGAGGCAGTTCATACCTACATTAAACATCATCATATTAAAGTTATTTATTTGAATGTTTTGAGGGTGAGAGGTGCATATTATAGACAGAGGACAAAACGTTCATAAGACGTGTGAAATAGGCCATATATACATCAAACTAGAAAAAAAATCTTTAAAATAACTTAATAATAATAAAATAATAACTATTGTATGCAGTTTAAATTAAAGTATCATTTTTTCATCTTTATTCAGGGGCCCTCTGATAGCTGGTACATCACTGTCTTGTGTGTATAACTTACATAAATATGATCATAGAACATTAGTCATTGATTAGTCAAAGTACATGCTATTTAGTTAGGATTAGTGATGAGCAAAGTTTGTTTCCCTGGATATTTAGCAAACACTTTAAAAAATTCACAACCCTAAACATAGCACCTAAACTCTATTGAAGTCTATGGGAGCTGAATCTTGTAAATCATTTTCTTGCCAAAAGGCCAATTTGCAAGCTCTTGACTAGTGTGTGTGTGTGTGTGTGTGTGTGTGTGTGTGCGTGTGACTTGCACAGAGTGAATGGTACCCTGAACCAAAACTACTAACACAGCATTTTGCTGTGCCATGCAGTACCCTCTGGTGTACACTTAGTTGATCAAGGGTTCATCCTAAAGCAAGATAATGACCCAAAATATACCTCTAGGCTTTCAGAACTACCTCAGAAGAAAAGAACAAGATGGTAGGCTTCAAACCATGGAATGGCCAGCACAGTCTCCAGACTTAAACCCCATCGAGCTGGTTTAGGATGAACTGGACAGAAGGGTGAAAGCAAAGCATCCTACAATTGCAACACATTTGTGGGAACTTCTGTGACAGTGCTGAAGAGAACTTTTTAAACAATATTTGATTTCTGTTGTAGAAAGAATGCCACAAGTGTGTTCAACTGTTATATCTGCAAAAGGTGACAACTTTGATGAGTCAAAAATTTAGATGACATTTTGTTAAAGAAAATAATTCCATAATTTCTTTTGGATGTTCAATTGTTTATGTGTCTATTTCCCACTGCACTCCGGACCGGAATCCCAATATAGTAAGATGGGTGTTGGTATGACCTGCAGATGGCACCATGTACTGGGACATTTACAGCTTTGATCGCTTACATGGAGGCCAATTATGTATCTTGGTGAGACTGTTCTGTTTTTCTTCCATGCTGGTTATTCCTATGCAGTTACAATATCTCCATCGGGATATACTTTGACATTTGTCAACATTTTGCTACAGCATCACAATGGTGGGGATTGATGTTCCTATACATTGAATTGTTTACAGTGCAGCGATGCAACAGGGGGTTGGGTGGTTTTGCCCCCATGACATATTGTACTGCTCATTGGACTTTATGGGATCAGTCCCATGGAGCTATGAGATGTTGCTCCCTTGAGAGGAAACCTGATGGCTACAACAGCTAGATCCATATACACTGAGTGGCCAGATTATTATGACCACCTGACATCTGTAGACAAATTAGCTATAATTAGCTATAATTTCACGCTGAAGTTGCTAGAGGGCCAGACCATTATAAATATGGAAGCAGGTTGTTTCCCACGACAGTAGAAGTGATTTTTTCTGAAGATATGGGTAAACAATGCGATTTAACAGCCTTTGAACGTGGGATGATTGTTGGCGCTCGGAGCCATGGAGCGAGTATCAGCAAAACAGCAGAATTCGTTAAATTTTCAAGAGCAGCTTTTGTTAAAGTGTTTAAAGACTGGACTGTTAGCCGAAAATCTGGGTCTGAACGTGCGAATTGTGGCGGTCAGCGACTAGTCAATGTTAGGGCAGAACGGAGAGTGGCAAGACTGGTACAAGACAACAGAAGGGCAACAGTGCAGTGTCATATTCCTCATATCACCTTTCAACATCTCGTGGAGTCACGAGGCGGCCCAACGAAGTCATCTCGTGGAGTAATCTCGTGGGCCCAACGAAGTACTGATAGGGTGGTCATAATAATCTGGCCACTCAGTGTATAGCAATGTATTAACTACCAATGGAAGATATGGCATAGAATGTACATACATGTCCTGAATGGATAACCATATTTGTGGGCAGCTATACCAATGTAACCGAGTACCCGCCTTGCTGTTTTGGGGGTGTTCTAAAACGTCTGCCCGGTAGTGTATATACGGTATATGTGGTAGGAAAACTGCTAGGTCTTGGCCTGTAGAACTTGGTGGGCCATTCATTTGTTGAGAGGTTGTGTCATCTACCTAATGTAGAAGTCTTTGCATTCCTCAGTACACTGCCTTGCATGTACAAAGTTACTACACTTCTGTTTGGGTATTTTGGATATATTAGCTGTCTCAGTATTTTGCTGAGCTTGAAAGACACAGAGATTTATTGTTTGTTAAAGATCCTTCTGAGTTTTTCTGCTACTCCTAGCTACATATGGAATAACCATATTACTCTGTGCATTCTGTTTCTTCTGTTCAATGGACCTGTGTTTTTGCTTGACCTTGTGGATGTTTTAACAAAAGTCCAGTTTGGGTAGCTGCAAACTTTGTAAGCATTCCTGAGGTGCCAGTGTTCTTTTTCAGTGTTTTGTTACCATCTCAGACCAATGTTGCAAAGACATAATAACCCCTAGTTTGTGTTCCAGTTGGTGGTTTGAATCAAAAAGCAGACACTGATCTGTGTGACTTTCCTGTAGAACTCCATGCCCAAGTCACCCGCTCTTCTTGACATGCAGCGCACAGTCCAAAAAGGGTAATTTGTTTTTCTGTGCTACTTCTTGTGTAAACTTCTTGCTCTTTTTTTAACTATTGATGTCAGGTACCTGTTCGCGGGAGATGTCGTGTCCCTCAGCGGGGACTTAGACGGAGAGGGTATCCAGCAGCACGTCCCGGCCGCGCAGGCGCAGACGGCAGAAGGCCCGCCGGGTTGCGTCCCCGCGGCATGATGTCATCGTGTCGGTGCGGCGCGGTGACGTAATCGCGCCGGCGCATGCGCAGTAGCTCATCCTCAGCCTATATAAGGCGCTGCAGGACGCACATTCAGTGCTGGGTGATCTTCAGCCAGCACTGGATGTTCGTGCTGTGCTTGTTCTTGCTCCCTGGTCATTTGCCCTGCCTTGCTCCTGTTCCTTGCCCATTGTGGTTCTTGTTCCCTTGGCTTACTTGTTACCGACCCGGCTTGTCTCTGGACCTCTCTCTGGCTTTATCCTTGTACTCTGCTGCTCACTTGTTACCGACCTGGCTTGTCTCTGGATTTCTCTCAGGTTTAACCCCTTGTACCATATTGCCTGCACGCTACTGACCCGGCTAGTCTCTCACGCTCCCTTCTGCCTATACCCTTCAAGCACGGCGGCTATTCTGCTAGGTCACCAAGTAGACCTCGTGACCTACAGTTCCGCATCCGGCACTCGTGCATCCCCTGCCTGAAACCTACTGTTCTCAACCCCAGTGGTCATCAGACGGGGTTGCAAGGGAGGTCCTCCTCGTCATCTCGGGCCCGCACCACAAACCTAACAATTGAGCTTATGTGTTCACTAAAGTTGTATTTCTGATATTCTAATCTTGACCCACGTATCGTGCACATACCTGGACCAATATCTTGGTGTTATTTATCTGAAATAGTTCCATGTGCTAGTCTTTATTTGCATGTACAGGTTAGCTACAGCTGGAGATAGCACAGTCATGTTTCAGTTTTCCAGAAGTTATCTTTGTACTTGAAATAGTTGGTATTAAGAGCAAATGTCCAGCAAGAAACCTACTTGGTCTGGCTTGAGTTTTCTTGTACTGTCAAGAGTCTTATCTAATTTCAGATGTTTCTGTAAAGTTTTAATATCCTCAGAAGTTGATATAAAAAGAACTGTACATTATGGAGATAAAGGAAAAGGGACACTCTTTTGAGAACAATGAGATGTAGATTTTGGACACAGAGGACAAATGGTTTGGGAGATGTGTGAAAGAGGCCAACTATGTCAAACTGATACAAATATACTTGAACAGGGTTGGGCCTTCAAAACCCTCTGGCATCCACATATAATGCTGTTAAAAATATCTACCTGTTGAATGTGACTAACTGTACTTATAGCTATATCTCACAATGTGAACCCAATGTCAGTCACATTTAGCAATGCCCCGAGAACCCACTGACAATTCGGTGAACTGCAAACAGCTTGGGTTTGGGTCAACACTGGTTATCATTGAAAATTATTCAAGAATAAAATGTTAGACATACCCATGCTCATAGCTGTAATAATCTTGTCCATAATACTCTTGGCCAGGATCAATGCCAGACTCCATTGACAATTCCTTAAGAAAAAAAAAGTATGTTTTACAAATTATCTGAGTTTCTCTGCCATTGCTTTCCTTGAACATTTAGTATGGAATGTGTAGTAACCCACTGCAACCAAATGGAAATGGAAATTCTCTTTCATAGACTTGCTGGCATTAAACAAAAATCTGGACCCTGTGGAATACTGCATTTCGCATGTCAGTATTTCTTAAACCTGTGAATAAGGAACACCATATTTACAGTTGTTTTTGTGATGTAATAAAAACCACGATAATATGTAAAATGCAGAAGTGCATGGCGATCAATTTGTTTTCACTTTACTAGTCAAACGTATTTCCTATTGATTGCCATGGGTTACTGTGTCACATCTTTATCTCCAACCTACCACTTGTCTTAATGCTAATGAAGAGTTGACATACCTTTTTATTATGAACCGCAGTACTATTTGAGATGTAAGTAGGAATTTGCTGCATGAATCACCTGCAGGTTTCTTATATTACTTAGAACTCCAGTAGCAAGATTTCCTTTGCATAGTTCCTATATCTATTCCTGGAGTTTATAGTGCTCCCACCTACCTTATGGTGTACTTAAAGACCATCTCAGGCAAATAAAAAAAATAACCATTGCAGTGGGGCTACCCAGCACTGCAAGGGTTAGGTGCCCATTCTTTCTAGGGGACTCAAATCTGTTTTACTTACCTGATCCCAGCTTTTGTGGCGGTAAGTGCAAACTTCTTCTCCCCCTCCGCTCCAGATGTTGAAATGTCCTTAAATGTCATCACATCTTATGCAGGTCTATGAACCTGCATAAGATATTATGGCTTTAGCGATCCTTCGACTGTCAGATCAAAGAGGAGAAGAGGCTTAGAGGATCGGTTTAGCAGCCTGGAGGGACCCAGTGGGACCAAAGATCAGGTAAGTAAAACAGATTTAATAGTGTCCCCTAGACAGAACAAGCACTTAATCTTTGCAGGGAAAGGGGTAGCCCCACTGCAAGTTTTTTGTTTGCTTGGAGATAATCGTTAATCTTTCTGATGCATGCTACAAGGTAAAAAAAAATCCCAGCAGGGATAGTTGGGAACATTAATTATGGCTCTGGCAAGTGTGCAGACCCCGGAACTGAAGAACACAAAGCTATCATAACCTTAAAGATCCAGGAAACCATTAGATCATTTATTTTGTAGTAAATCAAATCCTGAAATTCTGGATGGAAAAAAATAAAATAAATATATAGATATAAATATTTTCACGTGTATAGTCATGTAAAAAAGGAAGTAGCCCCTCTTCGATTTCTATGATTTTAAGTAACAGGAGATAATAAAAATCATCTTGTCTTTAGAAGGTCCTAAAATTAGGTAAATACCACCTCAGATGAACAGGAACACCATGTCATTACCTTTTCATTCACACCATGACATTATTTTACAAGCATAATGCCAAAATGGATTTGTTATGTGTGAAAAAAAAATACACCCTACTGCTTCCATAGGAATTAAGAGGCTAAGTGGGTGCCTGGTGCTGCAAATCAAATGCACTTGATTAACTGATCATCAGCAAGTGACCACCTCTATAAAAGCTGACGTTTTAGCAGTTTTCTGGTCTGGAGCATTCAGTGGTGTGTTAACACAATACTAAGAAGGCAAGACATCAGCAAAAATCTGAGAGAAACAATTGTTGCTGCCCACCAATCTGGAAAGGGTTATACTGCCATTTCCAAACAATTGATAGTCCATCATTCTACAGTTAGGAAAATGTATTCATAAGTGGAAAAAATTCAAGAGAGTTGCCAATCTTCCCAGGAGTGGATGTCCCAGAAAATGTATCCTTATGGGCAGACTGTGCAATTGGAAAACAAATTGGAAAACAGTTCACAAGTCACATCTCAAACTCTTCAGGCCTCAGTTAGCATTTTAAAAGTTCATGTCAGTACAATTAGAAAAAGACGGAACAAGTATGGTTTGTTTGACAGAGTTGCCAGGAGAAAGCCTTTTCTCTCCAAAAGGAGTATGGCAGCATAGCTTAGATTTGTAAATTTGCATCTAAACAAACAAGAATTCTGAAACAATGTCTTTTGGACAGGCGATACCAGAGTGAAGATGTTTAGCCATAATGTACTGCACCTAGTTTGGCGAAAACCAAATGCAGCATATCAGCAGAAACCCCTCATACCAACTGGCAAGGATAGCGGTGAAGGAGTGATGTGATTTTGTCTTGTTTAGCAGCCACAGGACTTGGGCACCTTGCAGTCATTGAGTTGACCATCAACTCTTCTCTATACCAAAGTATTCTATAGTCTAATGTGAAGCCATCTGTCCAACAGCTAAAGCTTGGCTGAAATTGGGTCATTCAACAGGACAATGATCCCAAGCACGTCAGCAAATCTATAACATAATGGCTAGAAAAAAAGTATAGAATCAAGGTGTTGCAATGGTCCAGTCAAAGTCCAGAACTCAACCGGATTGAAATTCTGTGGCGGGACCTTAAGAGAGCTGTGCATAAACAAATGCCCACAAACCTCAATGAACTTAAACAACATTGTAAAGAAGAGTGGGCCAACATTCCTCCACAGGGCTGTGAGACTGATAGTCATACAGTAAAACAGAAAACAATTACTACAAGTTATTGCTGCTGAAGGTGGTTCTACAAGCCATTGAATCATAAGGTGTACTTAGTTTTTCACACATGGCTTCTTCATGTTAGCTTTATGTTTGCAAAATAAATAATGGCACAGTGTAATATGTCATGTGTTGTTGTGGATTTGATGTTGTATTTACCTAATTCTAAGACCTGCTAAGGACCAGATGATTTTTTTTATTATGTCCTGATACTTAAAACCATGTAATTCAAAGAGGGTGTACTTTCTAACACCACTCTGTGTGTGTATGTATATACATATATATGAGAGAGAGTGAGCATGCATGCACAAGGACAGACATTTGCATGTGCTCTTAGGTGACCAATCCGCAAAACATATTGACTAATACAGTTATATGTATTCACTTAGGTTATGCATAAGTCTGGTGAAAAGTTTTGTTGATAGGACCTTTTAACAGTGACAACATGCAGATTTATATTGTAGAAGAAAGTAAACAATGAAGAAATACCTCAGGTTTTAGAAGAGATGGCCTCAGCAATTGCTGTTGCTGGTTCAAATGAAAATTACAGGCATATGACAGATGCAGGTAAGTGAAGGGAAAGAAGAAGAGAGAATAGTAAGAAAATTATACACACACACACACACTCTGTGTATGTATATATATGTGTGTATATATATATACACACACAGAATAGTGCAGCTGTATATTCATTAAACATTTTAAATGCAAGCAGTGTAAGTATCTGAATTTGGCCTGGTATCTTCCTCTTGCAGTTCCCCCATTATGTCTAAAAGCTCCTGCCCCTTTTTTCTTTTTAAACCAGATTTACTTCAGTCACACTATCTTCAAAAGTGGCAGTTAGAGGGTTGAGACAACCCATTTAATGCTGACAGGGGTGGTTACAATGGTTATCTTTTATTCATTTATGTAAAACCTTTATCCCAAATAGAAAGAAAAAAAACTGTTGCTGTAACTGCTTAAGGCCCCATTCACACCTAGGCGTATTGTAATATGCGCGTCTGTCGCACGTTTTTTTACCGCGATTCGCGGTAAAAAAGTTGTGCGACCCCGAAGGCTACTTGGCTGTATCCCAATGGAAAACGCCCTACAAAACGGCCCAAAGTAGTACCTGGACCTTTTCAGGCGTGGGCCGTTTTGTAGGTCATTAGGGACGGGCGGAAATACGGCAAGGTGGGAACGAGTCCATTGACTACAATGCAATTTATATTTTTGACCCTTTTGTAGAGCGTTCGTTGAGCGTAGAACGTGCTACAAAACGGTCAGGTGTGAACGAGGGCTATAAGCGTTAGATGTAGTAGCAGATTTAAATGGAGTTCACTAACTCATTAATTCAAACTCCACCTAACTATACCAACTCCAGAGGTTGGCAATGCTGCTTTCCAAGGGTGGCTCTGTTGCTCCTTCATAGAGTGGAGCCACCCTAAGACAAAAAGTGTGTTACTGACTGGATCACCAGGTGAAAATAAAGGAAAACAATAGGAAACTGATGCACTTATCACATGTAAGGATCGGTAAGCTCCAATATATTCCATTATTGTTTTTAGGTTTAGATACGCCTTAATATCTTAAAAACATTGTTGTGTAGGTTTTACAAATTATGTATTGGGAGGTGAGGCAGCAGTTTTTGCAAATTACAGTTGCACACTTCGCTCTTTGCCAAGAGGTGCTGCACAATGATTGTGTTACTGGTCATCCTTGTCAGTTTAAATCTAGCAGCTGTTCTGATTGAAACAACAGAGCAACAAGACACTAATAGAAGTCATATTTTCTGGACCAGTGGTCATCAGCTCAAACCTCCATACTTCCTCACAACAGATTTCCTGTAAATGTGCCAAATGCCACTAGATAAAACTTGAAATATTAAATATTATTACTCTTGTATATCCAATATAACATAAAGGGTATAATGCATGAAAAGCGGGCTACAAGAAAAAGTTGAAGGAAACAAGGATTTTGTTGGTTGCTAGAACAATACAATTTTTATATTAATGGCTCCCTATCAACAATTGTTGAAGACTATTCCTTTCCTTATTGATACATTCAGAATACTGTTATATTTGTCATCATCAATGAATATATAAAAGATCACTTCAATGATTATATACTGGAAAACATTTTTTCTTAACCATGTAACATGTTACAGTGTGATCATGACAGTAGTTGGTACTATTGAGATGACTTAGAATGATGGGAAGTTATTTGTAAATATCCTTGCTCTGAACAATATTGTAATTCCAGATTAATGACTGTATACTAGAACAACAGAAACTGAAATATGATTCATACCTCGGGATGAGCATATCCTCGCCTGCAAAAGAGAAATATTGTAGTAAATTTACAATTTTAGGAAATACAAATTCACATTTGTATGGATATACAGTATATCTGAAACATATTTTGATGAATCATATGTATCATAACCAGTAAATTGGGTCATGATAAGACATTTTATTTATTTCTTTTCATAAAGCCAATTTAATATTTTCATACCTGTTTTACATATCCCATAGTTTTCCTCTATTGTGGTCAGGGTCTGAACATATGCACTTTGTTAGTATTCGGTATATACCTTGTTTTTGTTATTATTTTTAACAAATTAAAACCTATATATGTTTAAAATAAACATATTTTTTCAAGGCAGCACAACTGGCCCCTGGCGTAAAGCTGAAGGGGGGCACTTTTGGCTAAATGCCGAAAGTGCCATTTTCCTGCCGTTTTGTCGGTGCAGCCGTGATTTCTCTCTTCCTCGCTGGGTGCTGCTTTGTCCCAGCGGGGAGGATTGAAAGTGACAGCCGAGCGCTGCGGGAGGAGACCGCCATGAGTGGCCGGTGTCTCTACTCCCACACCGCTCAGCCGCCTATCACAGTCCGGTAGAGCGGTGTGGGGGCGGAGACAGCCCACGCTGTCACAGGAGGCTGGGCTCTCCTCCGTGCACTGCTCGCTCAGCCTCCTGTGACAGCGTGTCAGAGGAGAGCGAGAGCAAACACTCAGCGATCAGTGATCGCTTAGTGTTTGTATATAATTGAGGATATGGTATGATTACTGTATCCTCAATTATGAATGAATGGGAGTGATCTACATCACCTCCTGTTCATTAATAATTGTGGTTATAGAAAACGTACTATGTTATCAATGAACAGGAACACTCATAAAGCATTCCTGTTCATTGATAACGGGATACAGAAAAAGAGATTGAGGACTCTGTGTTCTCAATCTCTTTTCTATTTTAAAAGGGAAATATCAGGGGTCTGTTTAGACCCCTAATATTTCACCGAAGCCCCAAAAAGTTAAGTAATAAATACAAAAATGTTATAACAAAATAATTAATAAAAATGAATTAAAAAAGTTTATAAAAAAATTAATAAAATTAAAATATTTGAAAAATGTGAAAAAATTAAAATAAAAACATGTGTGGGTGTGCGAAGTACAGTTCCAGTGGATGTTTATATAATGGGGGGGGAAAAATGTCTGCCCCCGGCGCCCGTAACTCTGGTTACGCCACTGACTGCCACACTTGATTAATATCACAGTGCACCTCCTCAGACTTCAATATGTAGTAAAAGGGATAATTCTCCAACATAAACTTTGTTCAGGCCCTGTATCTGCTGCATAGACTTCTGTTGTAGTAGTAGATATACAGCTGCATATATTTAACTATACTCAAGAGTCATTAGTGATATTTGTTTTGTGATCATAGGTTTAATTTCTCATACAATACTTTTTTTTCTGTTGATTGTTGATTGAGGGGATACTATAGATCGAAGTTGGGTCCACACTGTACAAATGTGCCTTTATTAAGCTTTTGTTAATAGATGCAGCTATTTGTTTATTGACATACTCAAAACAGATTTTAATTAGGTTTCTTTTGCTGCCTAATAGGTACTAATAATAGTGCTCCGAGGACTTTTGAATTTGGTTTAAGGCAACACAAAAGACCCAATGATGGTGTTCCCTTTAAAGCAAGATATGTTTAAAATACACATTTAAAAGTTTTTTGCTATAGAATTTAGTAGAAAGCATAGTAGACAATGTGTGATTTTAGAAACTGTCACTTGTTAAATGCATCAACAAAACTACTGTATATAAAAAACACATGAAACTCGTCTGCAGCTGTTTTTCCGTACCTGGCTATTTTGGCAAGGCATATTACAAATGTAATTATTATAAAGCATCTTTTATAAAACCACATTCTGTTTTAAAGGATTAAAGAGGGGTCAAAATGTCAACAACCAAATTTAAGTTGCAGTTACAGTACAGATGATTATATCTCAAATTCATTTTTAACATTTGAGCTGACATGATTTTCAAAAATTGTAATGTTGTTAATGCTGCACTACCCTTAAAGAGATCTCACCACCCTTAAAGAGAGCACTAAAAAAGGTACAATTGCTATGTATTTTTTTTTTTTAAATCTATTAGGTGGCAACCTGTTTCCTAGAAACTGACCTAAGTTTAGTTAATGACTCAGACAAGCAGATGGTTTGTTTGTTTTATGCTATGCATTTGCTGTACCAAGCCTTCCTGCATTTTATATGCAACATAATGATAAAACAATCGCACTTGAGTCTTCACCATTTTCTGGTCCACAGTGCACGTCGGTACCCTAATCAAAAAGCTTAAATAGACTGCAGAATATACAGCCTGTGACCAATCAATAGGTTAGTCTGTTGGCTCATTTCCTGGACAGAGGTGTTTCTGACTCTGACTTTTGTCTTTCTGTAATGCTATGTATTATTCCTGTGTATTTTTTTGGGCTGCATTTGTACTCCGATTGTTTGCGCGTATCCTCATCATTAGCTTGTTACTTCTGCTATTGTCAGTCATTGCTCCTTTAATGTGTCTGGAACCAGGACTCTGTTTAGGACCTGATTATGTTTATGCTCTTTCCTTTGACCAGGAGTCTGTGGAGTTACCCTGCTCTAGCATCTGCCTACTTTTTAATTATCTGTCCCTCTAGTGACACAGTGGGGTTGATTTACTAACCTTATAAACACACCACGAACATGTATACACCTCTGTAGTGTGTTCCCTCCCAGCATGATCTATGGGTGGAATCTAAACACCAGCAGGTGTGTTGTGCAAAGCCCTGCATGAATTTGCAAGGTGATGTTGTGTAAATTAGCTCTATGTTGTGTTGCTTGCGTTGATGAATGCAGGAATGTAAATGCATGAGCTAACCATTTTTGTCTAAACTGTGAAGCAGCATTATATATGCATCATGTGCATGATTTTTCCATATATGGCATTAGTGAAAATATGCTTTTAGAGACTTTTTGGTTGATAAATACGTTTTGCTGTGTAAAAATCACACGCACCTAGTGTGTGCGTGTGTTTAGGTTAGTAAATCACCCCCAGTGCGTCCACTGAGCTTTGTGACAATTAAAAATGCATGACCGTGCACCTAGTGTGTATGATCCGCAATGTGAGATTATGTTCAAGGACAATGAATGCTGAACAACAGCAGTTTGGAGGATGTATTAAAAGGATAACTAAGTAATGAGCAACTGAGATTAGGAGAAGAGGTAGTATGACAGAGAAGTAACTGAGGTTTGGTAGTGGTGATAATAACTAACAAATGACTGAGCTTTGAAGGAGGATTGAGGAGGATATCTGATAAGTAACTTAGATTTGGAAGAGAAGTGAGAACTTAATTGGATTTTTGGAGACGTGTAATGGATATTCAAGGCTGATGAATGTTGAGTGGCTAAGGTTTTGAGGAGGAGTGACAGATTTATGGGAAAATTACAACATAGGTTTAGAGAAAGAATGAGGTACATGTCTGTACCAATACTAGCCCCGGCACTCTTGCAGAATGTGTTGACTTTACATTGCAATAAGCAAACAAAATGCCCTTGCCAGTTATTTTACAGTGGTGTGGTGAAAAAATAAAGTATGATGACTGTAAAATTACACTGTCATGAAGAAAGTACACATGCTGGCCACTATAAAGAAAATGCTAGTTGCTTCGATGTGTCTGACTTAAGTGCTAACAAGTGACAGACCTTGAAGCCTTGAAGAGGCATGTTGTAAATGAGTCATAAAAGTGTCAGAATCTCTATATGTCTATACTGGTCTGAGTCAGTGATTAAAAAAACACTAAAGCCAAAGTTTTAGCATGATGGCAAGAGAACAATAATTTTTAAAAGGAGAGCTCTTTGGTGGCAGCTTTTATGATTCTTACATGAGATTGACTTTAAGCTGGACCTGTAAGCACAAACTAGCCATAGGTTGTCTAGACATTGTAAGGGTACATAACACTGTATTCCTGTATGTGCTGCTGGAGGTATTGAATCGGGGGTAAATATAATATGCAAATTTTACTTTGCTCCATACATTATGTGCTGCATGAGCAAGTAAGGACAGTGAGGTGCTCTCATTGCATTACATCATGCAAGGATGGACTGGCTGAGCTTAGACTTGTAGCAAAGTCATTACCTGTATATGGCCCATGCACTGGTGTGAGGTACACAGAGGAAGACTATAAGGCAGCGGTTTGTACTCCACTCTGTGGTGCCTTGTTATCACCCTCCTATTACCAGTACATATTGAATGTTCTACTGCTATGTTTCTTTTAGGCACTTCTACTATTCTTGTAGTTGAATCAAGCAAATGGGGAACAAAGTGTGGAGGCTTAATAGGATGGGACATCTCTATTATTATTTGATATTAAAGTTGGTCAATTGTTAAAATATATTTATACTGGTTCTGCGATGAAGAAATTGCTATTTAAAAAGCTGAAAGATTATTTATTTTTTACTTAGAGCTAATATAAAAGGTACATTTTGAAAAGAACAGTATATCTAACTATATATTTAACTTTTTATTCAGTTGTACAGTTTATTCTATTTGCTGAGGGCTCTAGCATTGGGATTACTGGTCTCCACACTTGCTACAGATATATAACAAGAGGTCTTCCACTGTTTATTTTTCGATGTATTCTATATTATGAAAAATGCAGCTGGAGAGGTGGGAATACCCTTACTGTAGCAGGTGTGGGATTCAAAGCATAGGGCTAGGCAAAGGGCCAAGAACTATGGCAGAGAAATCTTACCTATAAAGTACTAAGAAATCGGAGAGAGGCAGCAGGTGTTTCACTCCGCCTGTATACCCAAATGTATAACCTTATGTGTGACTCGCCTATTTATCAGGCATTTGACACTTATTATAGAACACATGCTTTTTCCCTTTTAGTGTTGGTATTGCAGTGCATAACACAGTACTGTAAAGTTTTGCCACAGAGAAACTGAAAGTGAAGTATGCTACTTAATGCAACCAGCATAACAAGTATGTTTTTAAAACCTTTTACAA